CCCCTATGCGCATCAGCAGTAGGGCGTAGCCGAGCGTACCAACCGCACGCTCATGACGAAGGTGCGCGCGCTAATGAAGCAGTCGAAGCTTCCGCCAACCTACTGGACGTACGCGATGCACGACGCCATACGGGTACATAATCTGTTGTCAACCACTGCGATCACCGGCAACCTCTCCCTGCATGTGAAGTGGATGGGGACTAAGGGCGACACTTCCATGCTCCGCGTGTGGGGGTGCATGGTTCAGTACCGCCTGCCAACATCAACCATTGGTAAATTCAGGAGCCGCGCACGCTGGGGGATCCACCTCGGCATGAGTCACATGTACAAGGCGTGGCTCATCCTAGATCTCTTGAGCTAGAAGGTTAAAAACGCGTGCGGCGTCATTTTCTACCTGTGTTTATTCCTTCAGCAGTTCCGCGAAGACGAGCAGACGAACGCGAACCGCGTTTACGCCAATGACGGGCACAGCTACGCCACGCCAGAAGACGAAGCTGCTGCGGCCATTCTGGAGCAAGACCCCAGAGGCGAGTTCACGAGAGGTGATCGTCGCGACGACGACGGTGACGATGACTCATCTCAAGGAGGAGCGGGCGCAGCAGGAGGCGCAACTGGAGGAAGCGGAAGCGGCGGAGGCACAACACCACCAGCCCGACCTGAGCCGGAGAGTGATGACGACGTCGTACAAGAGGTCGTCCCACAGCATCGCCACGATAGCACCGTCGTCGGAATGCAACTCCTCGGGCTTCACGCCGCCACCTCAACGGCGCCGCGTCTCATCGAACTAAGGAACCCGCGCCAAGCTCTCTCAGGACCACCTAGCAAGGAGTGGCGAAATCAAGGCCCTCGAAACCTGAGATACCTGGGTGCTCGTCGACCGCACCGCAATCAAGGGTGCAAGAATCCTCTCCGGCAAATGGTTCTTCCGCATGAAGATCGTAGCGGACGGCACGATCGAGCGCTTCAAGCTGCGGTGGGTCGTGCGCGGCTACGATCAGAGGCACGGAGTTGACTTCAGTCAAACATTCGCACCGGTAAGCCGTCACACCCCCGTCAGAATTCTCATCGCCATCGTCGCCGCACGACATCTGCCGCTCCGACAAATCGACGTGAAGAATGCGTTCCTATACGCGTTAGTAGATGTAGTGATCTATATGGAGCAGCTGCACACTTACGGAGAAGGGGACTCGCGAGTGTGCCAACTGCGCAAATCGTTTTACGGGATAAAACAGGCACCAAGGCTCTGGCAGCAGTATCTGCACAACATTCTGCTCGAAATCGGCTTCAAGCAGATGCCCCGCGACCCAGGAATGTACCGCCGCGATTTCCGCGGAGATTACCTTTTGCTCACCGTCTACGTCGACAATTTGCTATACACAGGGTCAAGCAACGAACTGCTCGAGCAGTTCGAGAAGAATCTAGCAGGGCGCGTCGACATCACCTGCAACTACGAAGTGAAGCAGTTCTTAGGACTCAATATCTCCTACGAGCCAACAGCTATCCACCTCTCTGCGGCTAAGTATGCAGAGGAGCTTGGGAAACGCTTCAACATTTTCCCTGCACCGTTTTCCACCCCTTATCGCACTCCTGGGCCGAACCACAAACCCGATAACAAAGCCCTATCCCTCGCTGGCATTCAGACTATCAGCACCATCTGGGATGCCTGCTCTTTGCCTCTATCACCTACAGGCCCGACCTTTCCTCCATTGCGAGCCAACGGGCTCAGTACTCTCGCAAACCAACAGCTACGAACCTTCTGGAACTGCTGCGCGCTCTACAGTCCTTCATCTCAACGCACAAGATTGGGCTCTGCTACTCAGCACTACCGACCCCATCCTTCAACCGCACCAAGCACATTGCGCTGCGATATTTCTTCGTAAAGGACGAAGTGGACAAGGGCAAGGTCAACTTGACGTACTGCCCAACAGGTGACATGGTAGCTGACTTCATGACGAAGCGACTGCCACGCCAGTACTACCAACACTGCTCCGAACTCAGTGGAGTGGTCAAGCAGGTCAAGACGAGCTATGGCCAGGAGTGAAGGGGGGTGTTACGAATAGAAAATATCATTGTGCACTCCTGACGGCAACTAAGTGAAGTACGCAGTATCGAGAATGAATGCGAGGAGTCAGAGTTGAGCCAAAGCGACGCAGACCGTTAGAGAGGATCTGGACCGTCGGAGCAGACGGCATCGGGCAGCTGCAGGGAAGAGGAATTTGGCGGGAACAGTTTCGTAACTGTACGCGCCGCACTGTTGGGAATGAATTTGAATAAGGGAATGTACCCCTTAGAGTACATGGCTAGCTAGGACGATTCGAATTCACTGTACTCATATTTATACTTTCTGTACTTGCATGTTTTAATCATCTCAAGCATTTTATATTCACTCTGCTATTGAGGTCAAGGGCCCACCACCACTAAGTAAATAGTTTGCGAACCTTCTTGAGGTGATCCTGGCTATGATAAACCTTTGATCGCGACAGGGCGGGCATATGGGCAGGAGAAATCGACTGGAAGAAAGTTATAAAAATCCGGGACTCCCTGGTGACACCAAACAGACCGTGCGACGTGCTGCTTAGAGTTCATAGCCTTAACCTGCAAGTGGGAGAAAGGCTTTCCTTCCTAGGTGGCAAGCCGGTTTGCCCGCACTGTAGAGAGTTTGAAACCTTAGAGCACTGCCTTTTCAGTTGCCCGCGCATCCAGCAAGTGGTGGTGGCTGTCAGAATATTATCTTATTGTTCTAGCCTGTAGTGGGGTGCTCTATAGCGAGTACAACCCTTCTAGGGTTTGCTATTTGTATCCTCATTCTTGCTAGTTCAATCGCTCTTTCTTCCTTCTAATTTTGACATGCTATCAGAGCAGGTCGATCCCCTTGGATCGATCCTGTGGGTGTGTCCCCACCTTGCTTCCGCTGCTACCTGTCCTTCCCGCCGTGCGCCCCGAGGCGCGCGGCGATTTTTTTTCCTTCCCGCCGTGCGCCCCGAGGCGCGCGGCGGTTTTCTGCCCGCCGTGCGCCCTAGGGCGCGCGGCGGTTCTTTGCCCGCTGTGCGCCCCGAGGCGTGCGGCGGGCGTCTGCTCTACGTCGCGGCCCCGCCCTACGTCGGGCTTCTCCCCTTCGTCGCGGCCCCGCCCCTCGACGCGGCCCCGCCCTATGTCGCGGCCCCGCCCTGCGTCGCGGCCCCGCCCCTCGAAGCGGCCCTGCCCCGACCGTCGCGGCCCCGCCCCACCTTCGCGGGCGTCTGCCCTACGTCGCGGCCCCGCCCCGACCGACACGGCCCCGCCCTCGTCGCGGCCCCGCCCTACAGTCGCGGCCCCGCCCTACAGTCGCGGCTCCGCCCTGCGTCGCGGCCCCGTCCCTTCGAAGCGGCCCCGCCCCTTGTCGCGGCCCCGCCCTCCCCTCAGGTCCGTGGTGGGCCCCCCCCCTTTCTCCCCTTCCCCCATTTCCCGTCGCCCGTCGCGGCTCCTTCGGGGGCCGCAAGCGGCCCCCTCAGGTCGCCACGACGGACGACGGGAGGGGCGAGCTGTGGGGTGGCGGGTATGGGGGTGGCCGGTGTGCCTTCCTCCCTTTCTCCTCCTCCTCCTTCGTCTCCCACTGCTGCAGCTGTCGCTGAGGGGGGTGGTTGTGTGGGAGACTGGGTTTAGGGTTTTAGGGGGGTGCGTGGGAGTAGAGCTAGTGGTGTAGCAGTGGGTGTGTATCAGGGGGGTGGGACTGTGTGCGGGAGGATGAGCGGAGGTTGCCAGTTTGTCGTCAGCAGCACCTGTAGTCCGGGGCGCTGTCCCGGTAGCCCAGTCGTAGCCAGCTGTGCCAGCCGCCCGTGGGTCCGTTGCCCGTCCGCCGCTATTTGAGCCGCGGGGCCTGTTACCCCTGTAGTCCGGGCGCTGTCCGGTAGCCGCTGTGCCAGTCTGCCTCCTGTTGCCCGTGTGTCTGCAGCTTCAGCCGTCGCCTCCTGTCTCCTCTCCCCTCACTCTCCCTCCTCCTCCTCACTTGCCCGTTGTGACTACCACTAGCTTTGCTTATAATTGTTAACTCTAAACTATTTCTTCTTGAACTTGTGCTCAGAATGTGTGGTGACATTGTGATCCACCCTGAGCTTGTTTTGCTTTGCCTGCTCTGCTGATTACACCCCACTTTGGCTATGGGGGTGTGTCAGAATATTATCTTATTGTTCTAGCCTGTAGTGGGGTGCTCTATAGCGAGTACAACCCTTCTAGGGTTTGCTATTTGTATCCTCATTCTTGCTAGTTCAATCGCTCTTTCTTCCTTCTAATTTTGACAGTGGCAGTCAGGTAGGCGGGCCATGCGCATGCTGAACCCAGCGAGGCAAGTGTCGGAACTGGGGGACCTGCTGTTCGGGAAGGCAGCATCAGCCACATCGTTCCCCGAAGCGTCTCTCTCTGCAATTGCAGTTCACCAGCTCTGGGCAGAGCGATGCGAGTGTGTGTTTCATGGGAAAAGGTTCCGGGCTCGGCGGATCCTCAGACGCATCGAGGCAGCCTTTCGGCTGCATGTGAAGGTGTACACGCGAGCAATGGGGAAGAAGATTGGCAGAGGTGGCGGTTTGAAGGGACACGGCAGGATTCATGCGCTGGCAGAGCAATAGGCCAGCTTGCTTGGACGTATTCGGTGCCGGGCGGTGAGAGGTTGGAAATGGACGCACAATTTCGACGCGTTATGGAGTCTCGCAAGGGTGGCTCTGCATCCGCCTTGGAAGCTTCACGTGAGGCCACCACGAGGGTTCGACCTCTCACGCTCAGTTACGAATGACATATACCTCTTTTACGCTTGTTACTTCGGTGTATTTGGATGTATTCATAATGAAAAAAAATCTCAATGATTTGTTTTATAACATTCTCAAAGTATCATTACCATTCAACTGATCAATAGAATATGATGGGGTTCAAATCTCATAATCACGCATAGTGTTTGAATTGACATATATTCCGGATGCTAATGTCGGGCACTAACATTTCTTCCCTGGTTTGTCGGTTGCTGCGAGTGTATGGTATGGCCTCTGGTTCCCTCCCGCCGTGTTCCCCCCTATCCTTTCCCCTTCTTCAAACCCTCTTCTCTGCCATCTCAAGATTTCGTTTCTGACAGATTCCTGACCCGCACATCTTGCTCGTTCGCATTCAATCACCACGATCCAATAAAATACCACGTGATGGCGTCGTCGCTTCCTCCCGCGCCAGAGTCCCTGGTCGACAACTTGCCGCCGGTCTCGCCCACAGCAGCGATCAAGGCGGCTGTTGTCCGCATTACTGCGGCCGCCACTGGCGGTGCTGTGCTCGGCGGTGCTCTAGGCTTTGGTAAGCCGAATGGCATTCAGTAAATGATGGTTAATACCTGATGGTCAACTCGCGATTAGTGGCTTGTTAAGGCTGCGAAGCTTTATCAAGGTCACTTATGATCAGTTGTCCACGTGTCGGCCTCTCGCCAGTCTCAGTCTTTTGGGACAACCACTTTGCGCCGAGATGCGCCACTCGTTTATCGCCTTCTCAAAACGGGCGATTCCTGTGAAGTCTCTGGAGACCCTGTGTGTCCCGTCTCGTTTGAATCATGCCACCTCCTGCGGACCATAAGGCTTCGCCGTTAAACCTTTCAAGAGGCTCATGTGTCGCTGTCGCTGCTTTAATGGATATAAATGAATCTCGTCAATCCACTTGTTCGCCTCATTCTTCGCTTCAATGTCTCACTCATTCTCTCGATTGTCCCCCTCATTTTCCCTCATTGTCCCCCTCATTGTCCTCCTCATTCTCTCCATTGTCCCTTCATGGTCCGCTTCATTGTCCGCCGTCTCCGCGCCCATGCAGGGCTGGGCTTTGTGGCGCGCGAGGGCACCAAGGTAACCATGCGCGAGTCTGCCTTCGGCCTCAAGGTGAGATGAGACCAAATGATACCCATGCTGTCCTGTTACGTGATCCGGACCCCATTGTGCCTTGATTCACCCTCTTATTTATCGTGCCTTGATCCACCCTCTTATTCATCGTGCCTTGATTCACCCTCTTAACGAATGGCTCTCAACTACGGTTCAAGTGTAAGCTGACTGCAAGGGGGTCCTGATCCTTGTCGAATGGGAGCCCCTTAGGCTGATGAAGGCTTGCAATCTCCGACCTACAAGTGCCATTAAAGCCCGTGCCCCAAATTGCAGAGCGCGCGGGGCAAGATCACCAATCTTGCCCGACTGGCGTTTTGAGTGCTGTATCTTGGTGCTAAACTGGTTGAGGCCTAACTCAGTGCTAAACCTTGAGGTCCAGCATTCTGCGATTTATGACTCTCGGTCCCAAAACAGACAGTTGGCCCTGGGGTTTGCTGACTCAGCAAGAAAGGGCGAAAGGTAGGGCGAAATCTGACAACCCCACCCTCCCAACACCTGCTCGACTTGGCGTTCACCTCCCAAACCACCCAGCCCTCAGCCTTGCGCAAGCTTTCTAATCTTGGGCAATTTAGGCTGCGGGCTTTAAGATGTAGTTGTAATCCCACAAGTGAATGCGAACCAGTCAGCCCATGTATGAGCCATGCTCTATGCGAGAACTGGTGTGTGCGAAATTTTGCTGTGTGCGATCTGTTGATGCGTGCGAGTTAACCATTCATGTTGTGGACCAGCCGGAGTTTGCAAAATGCAGGCTGACCCTGTTTCTTTACCTGCTCATGCTTCCCAACCTTGTTCCCAGACCGTGGCTATCATGTCAGCTGTCTATGCTGCCACGACAGCAGCTATTGAGAACCTGAGGAATGATCTACTTGACAGTGAGTGCCTTGCTGACGATTGACGTGTGTCAAACATATGTCATGCTTCGATCGCTCTACTTCTACTTACTGCCCTGTGTTCCACTTCATCTAGAATTTTTTGCATTCACATTCCCCTTCTCCCCTCCTAAAACTCCTCCACTGGTGATCAGTTGCTGTCCTTATCTCAATCTTTTTCTTTCCATGTCAATATCCCAATGTTCCTGCCTGCCTGTATCAGGTGCAAAGCCAGGGCTTGCTGGATGTGCAGCTGGACTGGCAGCAAGTGTCCCAGGTGAGATTCAAGGGTTTCTCAATGAGCCTGCTCTCCATGTCCCTGTTAGCAATATTTCCCACATCATCTCTGCTGTCCTGGCTTGCAGTCTCTGTCCCTCTATCGCGGCCACATTCTCTCCACGTTTTGCTCTCCCTCCCATTCATGGGAAATGCTCTTGTGATTACTTTTTGGTTCGGCTGCTGCAGGTCCACCAATGGCAATGCTGCAAGGATGTGCTGCCTTTGGCCTCCTTTCCTTCGTCTTGGATTTCTTTGCACCGGCTGAAGCATCCGCCAGTCCACTCAGACTCACAAAAGACCTTCGTTCCAACTGGAGAGCGCGAAGTGCATCAAAGAAATTTTCTTCAAGGCCTGAATCTCCACTTGATAGCTTGCTTTCCCTCGCCCTGCCCACATCCAGTGTTGCATCGCCTCCACTCCACTAACAACATTCCACCTGATCCCGACTCAACTCAGTTTCTGGTTTCTGGACAAGGATCGGCCTTGTTATTTTAGTAGGGGATTTTAGCAGGCGTTAGACGGTTTTTGCAATGAGTCAACAACGTATGGTAGTACAGATTGATTCAGGACAGCACACCAGTACCCATATGTGCCGTGTGTAGTATAGGAATTAAGCTTGTGTCTTCTATAGAGCTTGAGACCAAGAGGTGCACGCTGTCCGCTATTTGCGCAATAGACGGGGATTTTCTGTTTCAGGGAACCTTTTTTTTTTTTTTTTTTTTTTTTTTTTTTTTTTTTTTTTTTTTTTTTTTTTTTTTGGCGTGAATCCGCAACACCTGACCTGACCTGACCTGGACCCACAGTGCACGCATGTCCGCGCTCGTGTCGGTCAAGTGCGACACTGGGCAAATCATTACACCTAGTCCGCGGTATTTTTAACCGGCGCTATCTTAATCACGCGAGGGTACTTCTCCTTTATCAAACTTATTTAGTCGGGCTGTTTCAAACTTTACGAGGGTAGAATCTAGCATTCCCTTCGCGAGATGACAGCAGAAAAAACTCTGTGAATGCCGAGTGTGACAAATGTCAATCCGTCTATCTTGGAGCACTAAGTGTGAGTTCCTTAGACGGAAGTGCTTTCGGCTGCAGAATCGTAGCCTCGATGACTCTGGGTGCTAATAACATTACCCAGAAACGAACAAAGGGGGTTTGAAAGAACAAAGTTCACCTGGTTAAAATACCGCGGACTAGGTGTACGACTGGCGCCGCAAAATTCGCCAACCTAAGGTAACTTCTGTGAGATTTTCGCGAATCGGATTCTACGGGGTGTTGCCATTCCCTCGCATTCCCGAATGCTTGCGAAACAAAAATCTTTCTTCCAGCATTTCCCATCAGTACGGAAATCTGCGAAGGGGACAAGGAGATGCACTGCTGCTGCTGAACCTAGCTGGCAAACAGCCTGGGGGGACGGGGACATGCTTGCGCCTCTTCTACTTGCTTGCTGCGTCTCCCTTCTTGCTCCCATTGCTGTGGCGTCTCTCACTCCGCTCCGCACTTGTCGGAAGAGTTTCCCAGACCATGTTAGCGAAGGTCGATGACACCGCTTAGACCGTGACTCGCGCTGTCTGGCGTCTACTGGCGACTGCAGATTCGTTAGTCTCGTAACGCCACGTGCATGATGGTGTCGCTGTAGACACATAGCCTCACGGACCGCTTCCCATTCATAGATCCAGCTTGCTCTGAGCCCGTCGATTGAGACGAAGCTTTTCGTCATGACGGGTGAATGGCGTCCGGCTGTTGCGAAGCGTCGCGTCGTGACACGGTCTCCTGGTGCCTCGTTACTGTTCTCGCACTCTCCGGCTTTCGCGGCCGCGTGCCTGCTACTCTGCACTCTTGCGGCACCCCTCGTCTCCTCGCCTGCTTCTGCCGCCCCTTCACCTGACGGTAACCACGCAACGGTACCCCTCTGACGGCCATGACCCTTTTTCATCGCTCCGTTCGCTTTCCCCTTCGTATCCCACCCCTTCTCCCCCATCTCCCCCCTTCCCCCCTCCCCTTTCCCTCGTCCCCTCCTCCCCTTTTCCCCACCATCCTCCTATTTCCCCCGTCACTTCCGCTGCTGGGCCTCTGTCGGTTACCCTTTCTCTATTTGTTGATTCGAATTCGACAAGGCTCTTTTGTGCGAATTCCCCTCCTCCCCTTTTCCCCACCATCCTCCTATTTCCCCCGGCTCTTCTGTGCTATCTCTCCTTCCTTGAACTCCTCCCCATACGTCGTTTTCCCAATGTCGTTCTTCTGCGGTCGTCGTCGTCTCTCTCTCTCTCTCTCTCTCATCATGTTCTCACTGCGTACAACTCTCCGTCCCCTCCGCGCCCACTTTCCGCGTGCACTCCCCGTGTCCATTTACCGCGTGCACTCCCCGCATCCATTTTCCGCGTGCATTCCCCGCGTCCATTTCCCGCGCGCATTTCTCGCGTCCGCTCCGCGCGCTTGCCTTCCCGCGCCGTCCGTTCCATCAGCGGAAGCTCTTCTCCGCGTGCGCGCGACGCTTCAGCTGTCGCAGGAGTCCGCACTGCCGTCGTGGACCGATGCGACGAGTCCGTGCGACGGCGGGTGGGAGGCGGACGTTAGATGCGACCCTGACACCAACCAAGTCGTCCACCTGTAAGTACCCTCCCCCAAGGCCCCCCCCAGACAGATACGGAATGGCATCTACCTGGAGAATCGCCTGGTATGTGCTAGCTTGCAACTCTTATCCGTCCTCCTTTTCCCGTCGTTTCACCCAGCGACGTATCTGGCTCGCATCCTTCAGTTCCAGCTCCTAGACTCACGCGCACCATCTTAAATGGGGATACGATATCTCGTTCCACCTTTCTCCACGCAGCCACACATTCAACCCTGTATTAGTCGGGGATATGATATCCATCGGGTCCAATCCAGTCCAATTTCAGGTCCTCCCTCCTCCCTACGAACCTACCCTGTCCCCCATTCTTTCCTCCTTCCGTCCTCCCTCCCTCCCTCCCTCCCTTCCTTTACTCCCGTCCCCCTTCCCCGTTCCCTTGCCCTTCCCCAGTGACATATCCAGCTTGCAGCTTTCGGGGCCCATCCCAGGCACGGATCTCGCGCAACTCTCCTACCTCACTTACCTGTCAGTGCTCACCTCACACCTACCTGCTCATCGTGCTTGAGAGTTGGAACTGGTTGGTAGGCACGCAGTGGGCGTGTGAAGCAATGAGCTGTCAGTGTGTCTGCCGTGCTCACAGCGTGTTGCGTTGACGGGCGGTGTGAGATGAGAACGAGTGGTTTGTCGTGGCTGGCACCACACGCACATGAACAGCACAGGATTAAGGTGTGTGCGTGTTCAGCGCAGGGGAACACATGCTAGGCTGATCTTTGCTTGCCCCGGGATAGGGGTTTGGGAGCGGGGTGTTCAAAGCGCAAGGGTTATGGGGTTTAAAGTTGAGACTGTAGAGTTTCGGTCCTGGTGGAACACATGCTGGGCTGATCTTTGCTTGCCTAACGGGGTAGTCACTCTACAGAGTTATGTCTGGTTGTTAGTCAGAATCCAAGGAACCATCGGAAAGTTGTGCGTCTGGTTTATGTGACCCTGACTTGGCTTCTCAATCCAATGAGCTCACAAATGATCAAGGTGCTACGCAGCTCCATCTCCCCTCTTCACTCACTCTTCCCCCCTCTCCCCCTCTCTCTCCCCCTCTACCCCCCTCACTCCCCCAATACCCCCTCACTCCCCCTCTACCCCCTCACTCCCCCTCTCTCCCCCTCCCCTCCTCTCTCTCTCTCTCTCACAGGGCGTTGGATGGCAACACCTTCTCGGGCTCTCTGCCAGCAGACCTCTCCAGGCTGTCAGCCCTGAAGCACCTGTACGTGCTGAGTCGCTCTGCAACCTGTACGTGCTGAGTCGCTCTGCAACCTGTACGTGCTGAACCGCTCTGCAACCTTTGACGCGCCTCAAAAACCGCATGAACTGACACGATTTTTTGAAGTGCCTCAAACAGCTTCTTGAGCTCTCTGCCAGCAGACCCCTCCAGGCTGTCAGCCCTGAAGCACCTGTAAGCGCTGACTCTCTCACTCACACGCCCCTCGATGTAGAGGTGCTCTTGGCACTTGTACGCTCTGGAGCACCTCGCACGCCCCTCACCACTCACCCCGCACGCCCCTCACCACTCACCCCGCACGCCCCTCACCACTCACCCCGCACGCCTCTCACCACTCACCCCGCACGCCCCTCACCACTCACCCCGCACGCCCCTCACCACTCACCCCGCACGCCCCTCACCACTCACCCCGCTCGCCCCTCACCACTCACCACTCACCCCGCACGCCCCTCACCACTCACCCCGCACGCCCTTGAGCAATCTCACTCACGTGAGCAGCGGCTTAAGGCGTTTGTGCACACCACCCTCCCATGATCCCTTCTCCCCCCCATCCACGCCACGCCGTGCCCATCCACGCCTGTCGCCTCCCTCACGCTCAGCTCCCTCCCCTCTCCCACCCCCCCCCACCAGGTCGCTGGAAGGCAACGCAGTGGAGGGGCCCATTCCAGGGGACGTGCTCAACTCCCTCACCGCGCTCACCCTGCTGTGAGCCCCGTCCCCACTCCCTGCCCCCACTCCCTGCCCCCACTCCCTGCCCCCACTCCCTGCCCCCACTCCCTGCCCCCACTCCCTGCCCCCACTCCCTGCCCCCACTCCCTGCCCCCACTCACCTCCCCCACTCACCGCCCCCACTCACCGCCCCCATTCCCCCACTCCCCATGCACCATACCATGTGTCCTTGTTTCTTTGCCCTCATGACCCTAACAATCCATGCTTGTATGCCCCAATGCCCCATGCTCCCATGCGCCCGCGCCCATGCTCCCATGTCCTCTTAGCCTGGCACCATCCATGTCAAGAGCCTCTCTCTCTCCAAACCCGTTCCATTCCTCACATCCACTTCCCCTCACCTCATTACCCCCCTCCCTTTCGCCTACCCCCAATAACCCCCCTCATCCGCCTTGTGTCCGCACCACAGCAACCTGAAGACGAACAACTTTTCGGGCCAGCTGCCGGAGTCGCTCGGGGCACTCACTAACCTGGTTGCACTGTGAGTCGTGTTCGCCGTGCCTCTCTCTCTTTCCCATAGTGCACCGTGCCATGCCATAGCCATGCCATCTCCCCTCGTCCCCTTGTTCCCAACATCCCCTCATCCACGCGTCCCCTCGTCCCTTCGTGCCCTCATCTTTTTCCCCTCTCTCATCCATGCGCCTCCAGCAACCTGGGAGCCAATCAGCTGACAGGAGAGATCCCAGCAAGTTACTCCGCCCTCTCGCAAATTGTGTACTTGTGAGTTATGCCCCTGCCTGCTCCCCTTGCCACCCCTTCTCGAGTGCTCTCCCTGCTGACTTGTGCCCAGTGGCGCATGTTTCTTCGCCTGCCTCGCTCACATCTCCGCCTCCCCTTATCAGTGCTCATGTCGTTGCTTCCGTCTTTCATTTCAACACCCCTCCCCCATCGCCCCTCACTGATCGCCCCTCATTCATTGCCTCTCACCACGTCTCTACCGTCGTTCACCACCCCCCATCACCCCGCACTGCACCGCACCACCACACCATGGCAGCAAGGCGTCGCGCAACAAGCTGGACGGCGCCCTTCCCGACTGGTTCGGCTCGTGGCCTCGACTCATGGACCTGTCAGTGCCATCGCCTGTCTGTCCTCGCTTGCCCGTCCTCCTGTTCTTACCCACTAGCATCACTCTCCCCACTCTCCTCTCACTGCATACTTTGCTGTTCGCCTCCTGGCCGCGACTCATGGACCTGTCAGTGCCCTCGCTTTGCCCTCACTTGCCTCCCTGCCTCTACTTAGTTCCCCCACTCACTCTCCCCACTTTTCCTGCTCTCCCCACTCACTCCACTTTTCCTACTCTCCCCACTCTCTCACTCTCCCCACCTCTCGCAACCTTCTCACTGCATTCCATACTGCTCGACTCCTTGCCCAAAATGCATAATGGCCTCCACTCCAGACCCTCTCACTCTGAAGTACCCCCTCGCCCCTCTCTCTCCTACGCCACCGCCTTTTTCCCCACGCCAGAGGGATCGTCCTGTCCTGTGAGCTTCCCTCAGGCTCCAATTCTGACTCTCTTAAATCAAAATATCTCCTTTCCCCCTTTCCTTCTCCTCCCCCTTTGTTCCCACCCTCTCCTTACCGCCCTCTTCTTCCCCTGCGCTCCTTCCCCCCGCCCTTGTTCTCCCCCCCACCGTTCTCCCTGCCACAGAGAGCTATTCAAGAATGGCTTCACGGGCTCCATTCCCGACTCTCATGTTCTGAGACGCCCCTCACTCCACCCCCCCTTCCCCTCTACTTCTCCTCCCACCCAACCCCTTTCTCCTCTCCCCTCGCCACAGAGAGCTATTCAAGAATGGCTTCACGGGCTCCATTCCCGACTCTCTCGGCAACGTACAATCTCTGGTCGCCCTGTAAGTCTCTCTGTCTGCTTGCGCTCGGAGTCTCTGGCTAACTCCCACACTTCACAGTGCACCCCTCCTCCCTCGCTCACTTGCTCACTCACTCACTCACTTACTCACTCAGCCACTCACTCACTAATTCACTCACTCGCTTACTCGCTCACCCACTCGCTTGCTCACTCGCATGTTCCACTCGTGAGGCGACTCATAAGTCGTTCCTTTCTTCATTGCAAATCGAACCACCTTTTCTCTCCAACTCCCTGGTCACGAAAGCATATCAGGCTCGCTGCCGAGTTTCAAGGCAACCATAAGCTCACCTCCCCTTCTCGTCCTGCGAACCACCCCCCTCGTTTCCCCATTCCCCCCCTTCATCCTCCCCCTACTTGCTGCACCAGGTCACTGGACGAGAATGCACTGTCTGGCTCGCTGCCCGCATCACTGGGATTGCTGCCACGCCTTGAAGCCCTGTGAGCTCCCCTCCCTCGCACCACCCCCACAGCACTCTGACCGCACTCTGACAGCACTCGGACACAACTCTGACAGCACTCTGACACCACTCGGACACAACTCTGACAGCACTCTGACACCACTCGGACACAACTCTGACAGCACTCTGACACCACTCGGACACAACTCTAACAGCACTCTGACAGCACTCTGACACCACTCGGACACAACTCTGACAGCACTCTGACACCACTCGGACACAACTCTGACAGCACTCTGACACCACTCGGACACAACTCTAACAGCACTCTGACAGCACTCTGACACCACTCGGACACAACTCTGACAGCACTCTGACACCACTCGGACACAACTCTGACCGCACTCTGACAGCACTCTGACACCACTCGGACACAACTCTGCAAGCACTCTGACACCACTCGGACACAACTCTAACAGCACTCTGACAGCACTCCCACCACTCTCCCACCACTCTGGAAGGATTCAGAGAATCCTTGAACGCTCTGCACCGCACAGTAGATGTTGCTTTTGAGAATTCTCAAAAGTAACATCTGCACCACTCGGGGTCCTGGGACCGCCTGTCACAGCACGCACTGGTGGAACCAGGCCAATGGTCGCCTGTGACATGGCGCAGTAGTGCAAGCAAGCGGTATTATTCCAATGGGCCATTCTCAATCCCGCATGCCATCTTGCCACCCTCACACCGCTCCCCTCTCTCTCACCCCCTTCACCCGCCTCACCTCTCTCTGCAAGCATCTCTCCATCCACTCTCCCTTGTAATCGTGTCACCGCCTGCCTGCCCTGCCTCCCCTCCGTGCGTGCAGCTATGTGGTGTCGAACAGTCTGGAAGGGCCCATCCCGGAGTCCTTCAGGGGCATGCAGAGCATCAAGTACATGTGAGTCCACTTCTGAGGCGCCTCTAAACTCTTGAGGCGAATTTTGTGGTGACTTTTGAGGCGACTTTTGAGGCGCCTCAACAGTCCTTCAGGGGCATGCAGTGCAGAGCATCAAGTACATGTGAGTCCAGATTGAGGGTTAAGAGCGTGTGAGAAGAATGGCGTGTGAGATGAAGGGCGTGTGAGATGAAGGGCGTGTGAGATGAAGGGCGTGTGAGATGAAGGGCGTGTGAGATGAAGGGCATGCCCTGCCATTCATCAATGCCCTGCCATTCATCAATGCCCTGCCATTCATCAATGCCCTGCCATTCATCAATGCCCTGCCATTCATCAATGCCCTGCCATTCATCAATGCCCTGCCATTCATCAATGCCCTGCCATTCATCAATGCCCTGCCATTCATCAATGCCCTGCCATTCATCAATGCCCTGCCATTCATCAATGCCCTGCCATTCATCAATGCCCTGCCATTCATCAATGCCTTGCCATTCATCAATGCCCTGCCATTCATCAATGCCCTGCCATTCATCAATGCCCTGCCATTCATCAATGCCCTGCCATTCATCAATGCCCTGCCATTCATCAATGCCCTGCCATTCATCAATGCCCTGCCATTCATCAATGCCCTGCCATTCATCAATGCCCTGCCATTCATCAATGCCCTGCCATTCATCAATGCCCTGCCATTCATCAATGCCCTGCCATTCATCAATGCCCTGCCATTCATCAATGCCCTGCCATTCATCAATGCCCTGCCATGCATCAATGCCCTGCCATGCATCAATGCCCTGCCATTCATCAATGCCCTGCCATGCATCAATGCCCTGCCATTCATGCACCTCTTTCCACTCGCATGCCGATTCACACCACGCACATTAATTTCCCTGTACAGCAACACGTCGTCCCCATGCTTACGGCCAACTAATCAGCCCGAGTCTGCATCGCTGTCCGCGTCCACATTTCAACAAAGCGAGTCAATGCTCGATTCTGCTCCGCCCCATTCGCACTCCCATCCCCATCCCCGTCCCACCACCCCTGCAGTGATCTCAGCTTTCAACCTGCAGCTGTCAGGCCCTCTCCCGGAATTCTGCGAGATAGAAAGCTGGGGTTTGAGACGTCTCAAAACCCTCCTCCTCTCAATCCCCATCCCGCCATCCCTATCCCGCCACCCCCACAGCGATCTGAGCTTCAACCTGCAGCTATCAGGCCCTCTCCCGGACTTCTTTGGCGCCATGCCTTCGCTTGAGTCCATGTGAGCCCTTCTCATGCCCCCAACCTCCATTGCCCCACAACTCCATTGCGCCAGAACTACATTGCGCCAGAACTACATTGCGCCAGAACTACATTGCGCCAGAACTACATTGCGCCAGAACAACATTGCCCCACAACTCCATTGCCCCACAACTCCATTGCCCCACATTCCCCTTCCTCTCCACCCTACCCTCTCCTCGCCCCTGCCTTGCACCCCTCCCCTCGTGCTGTGCCCATTCTCATTCCGTTGCACACGAGTCACTCTCTTGTGCCCCTTCCCTTCTGCGCCCATTGCTCCCCTCCCCTCCATTCCCCGACTTCCCGCTCCCCCATTATCCCTGTGACTTCCCGCTCCCCCATTATCCCTGTGACTTCCCGCTCCCCCATTATCCCCCATTGTGATTTTCCCCACCCTCCCTCATTACCCACCCTCCCTCACTACCGACTCTCCCATGTCTCTCCCCTCTCCCCTCCCCCTTCCCCCCTCCCCCTTCCCCCCTCCCCCTTCCCCCCTCCCCCTTCCCCCCTCCCCCTTCCCCCCTCCCCCTTCCCCCCTCCCCCTTCCCCCCTCCCCCTTCCCCCCTAACCTTCCCTCACCCCCTCTCCCACCCATTCCCCAGTGCCCTCGAGTCATGTGGCTTCACCGGCCCCATCCCTCCCACCCTCGCATCCCTCCCCAACCTCTGAGAGCCTCGGCCACACCGCCCTGCACGGCGCCCTGCCGCCCTCCCTCCACTCAGCCCCTCTCCCTTGTGCCCCCATCCCCCCTCTCCACCCCCTCTCTCTCCCCTTTTTGTCCTCCCAACCCCCCATTCCCCCACCCAGTGCCCTTGAGTCATGCGGCTTCACCGGCCCCATCCCACCCTCCCTCGCATCTCTCCCCAACCTGAGAGAGCTTTTCCTCGACCACAACGCGCTGCACGGCGCCCTGCCGCCCTCCCTGGCCACACTCTCCGCACTCACAGCTCTCTACCTCAACAGCAACCAGCTCTCGGGAGCGATTCCCGAGGACCTGTGTGGGCTGGGGTCGCTGGGGGTGGTCATGCTGGGACATAACGACCTGGAGGGGGCCATTCCCGCATGCCTGCTTGCGCTGCCCAACATCACCACGCTGTGAGTTGTGTGTCCGTGGCGTCCCTCTCAGCGCTCACATCGCTTTACCTTAACAGGGACAGGGACAGGGGCAGAGCAAGCAGGCACGCGGGACAGGTGGTTTTGTGTCCGTGGCGTCCCTCTCAGCGCTCACAGCGCTCTGCCTTAACAGCAACCAGCTCTCCCCGCATGCCTGCTTGCCCTGCCCAACATCACCACGCTGTGAGTCTTGGGTTGAGATGTGGGGCGAGTTGGGTTCTGCTTGGGATGCCTGTGCTGGGAGCGGTTTTGCGATCAGTACGTGGTGCGAGGTCGTGTGGCTACATACTGATCATCGCAAAGGTCCCTTTTCTCATACAGCTCTCCCAGCTCACGCACCTTATTCTCCTTCATAGCATCTTCAGCTTCCCACTCTCACTGTTCTGCACACCAACATTCTCTGCTGCACTGAAACCATCCTCACCCCCTTCAATCTCTCTGCACCCACGCCACTCTACAGGAACCTGTTGTCCAACCGCCTGTCTGTCAGACCCCTTCCCACCTGTCCCTCTGCACCGTAACCCTCTCCTCTGCACCGTACCCCTCTCCTCTGCACCGTAATCCTCTCCTCTGCACCGTAGCCCTCTCCTCTGCATCCACACTCGCCCTTTTTAACCCTTCCAAACCCACCCACGCCACTCTACAGGGACCTATCGTCCAACCGCCTGTCAGGCCCCGTCCCACCCGTCCCTCCCGCCTCCTCCATTGACTTCCGAGTCGGCGGAAACTGCCTGGAAGGAGCGCCGCAGCAGCTCTCCCCTTGCCCCACAGGGTCCGACTCCCCATCCTCTCCCTCCTCCGCCTCCCCCACCCCTCCAACCGGCTCCCAAGGGAGTAGCAGCAGCGGCACCACCGGTCTCAGCACTGGTGGTGGCAGCACTAGTAGTAGCAGTGGTGGCAGTGCGGACACTGGGAGCAGCGGTACAGCTTGGGACAACATTTGGAACGCACCCCCTTCCCAGGAGGAGGCCGCATGGCCTGGCACTGGCGGCCGCAACAGTGGCAGCAGCACCGGCAGCACTGGGAGTACTGGCAGCAGCAGCAGCAGCAGCAGCAGCAGCAGCAGCAGCAGCAGCAGCAGCAGCAGCAGCAGCAGCAGCAGCAGCAGTGGCGGCAGCAGCAGCGGTGGCGGCAGCAGCAGCGGCGGCAGCAGCAGCGGAACGGGGTGGGAGGACATATGGAACTCGTCCCCATCGCTGGAGGAGGGCGCTTGGCCCGTGGACCCCCTCATACAGACCGACAAACCTAAAGGCTCAGGGGCAGGCGCAGGGGCAGCAGCACACTCACCCCCGCCGTCACCCGTGCAGCAGCAGCAGCAGCAGCAGCAGCCCCCTCCGGTTCAACCTCCTCCAGTTGAACCTCCACCGGTTGAGCCGCCACCGGCCCAGCCTCCCCCGGTGGAGGCTCCCCCCCGGGCCACATACGGCGGTGAGTGGGTCTGACTGTGCTGCTGGGAGGGGGACCTGGGAGTGCGATGAGTGAGGGGCGCGGGAGGGAGCTGGGCGAAGGAGGGAGGGGGGTGAGGGAGAGGGATGGGTAAGGGGCGAGGGAGGTAGGGGGTCGTGAGAGAGAGGTGGGGGAAGTGGGGGCGTGGGGGAAGAAGGGGAGGAGAGACAACGTAAGGGAGTCAGGACGGGAGACAGAGAGTTTAAGGCGATGGGAGACGAAGGTTTCAAGCTCTTTCCCTCTCTGCCTCTTTGAGGCGCCTCAAAATGCACCTCACTACACGCGGAGTTTAAGGCGATGGGAGACGAAGGTTTCAAGCTCTTTCCCTCTCTGCCTCTTTCCTCCTTGCCTCTTCTCCTCTCCACCTTAATGCCTCTCGTCTTGCCTTACCTCCTACACTCGCTCTCTCTCCCATGGGCCTCATCCCTCATCCCTCATATCTCACCCGCGTGCCTTCCCCTACCCTCTCTTCTCCCAGTGCCTTCCCCTACCCTCTCGAATGGAGCCCCAGACAGGAGCCATATCTCACCCGCGTGCCTTCCCCTACCCTCTCTTCTCGCCTCTCCACCTCCCCCCTTTCCCATCCCCTCTTCTTCCTCTTCTTCCCCCCCCTGTCTTCTCTGCCCCTCCTTTATCTCCTCTTATCGCCTCTCCCACTATCCCCTCTGCCGCATCTCCCCCTATTCCCCCCACCCCATCTCCCCCTATTCCCCCGCCCCATCTCCCCTTATCCACCCTGGTTCATTCCCCCGCTGTAGTGGCAGCAATGGCTGCTGCGGACCAGGGCAGCAGCACAGACAACACAAGCACAGGCGCAGCAGCAGCAGCATCTGGATGGGGCTGGCTCAACTTCCTGCTGCTGGCACTCGCCCTCGCTTCAGCCATCGCCATTGCCGCTGCATGCTTTGGATACATCACCCAGCGCAGACCCCCCTCCTCCTCCTCCCTCGCCATCGCCCCGCCTCTCACCCTGCCTCCCCCGCGCGTTGAAGAGCGTAAGTCCGTGCACTACCTGAGAGCGTGCACTACCTGAGAGCGTGCACTACCTGTGAGCGTGCACTACCTGAGAGCGTGCACTACCTGAGAGCGTGCACTACCTGAGAGCGTGCACTACCTGAGAGCGTGCACTACCTGAGAGCGTGCACTACCTGTGATGCTTCCCCTCGTTTTCCCCTTGTCCTTTGCCCTTCCCCTCTCATCTCCTCGTTTTCCCCTTGTCCTTTGCCCTTCCCCTCTCTTCCCCTCTCCCCCCCCTTCCCCAGTGCCAGTGACGGAGTACGGGTTGTCAAAGATAAAGCGCGCCACAAAGAACCTCACCACGCTCTACGGCAAGGGCAGCTTCGGCTCCGTGTACCTGGCGCAGGACTTCCTGCCCTTCCTACGCTCAGGACTTCCTGCCCTTCCTGACTGCGAGCTCTGACCTTCGCCAACACCACCAACTTTCTTTCTCCACCCCCCGTTCCCCTCCCCTTTGCTCCCCCCGCAGTGCCAGTGACGGAGTACGGGTTGTCAAAGATAAAGCGCGCCACAAAGAACCTCACCACGCTGTACGGCAAGGGCAGCTTCGGCTCCGTGTACCTCGCGCAGGACTTCCTACCCGACCGTGCCAACCCGCATGTCATCATCAAACGAGCACACGACCCTGAGAGTGAGTAGTTTTGCCTAGAGTTTACTCAGAACACTCTTGGGTTGACTCAGAGCATGCGGTGTATGCGGCACCGTGTACCTGGCGCAGGACTTCCTGCCCGACTGTGCCAACCCGCATGCCATCATCAAGAGGGCGCACGACCCTGAGAGTGCGTTTCTGCAGCTTGAGTTGACTTAGAACACGCTGCGGTTTGAGTGTGCATGGTGCAGGAGGACTTGATGTACCATGCCTGCTCAGGGCTTCCTGTCAGACCACGCCACTCGCAGTCACCGTCCCACCATGCCTTCCCAACCCCACCCCCCCATTGCCTGCCACCGCAGAGATGAGTGAGGAGCAGTTGAGAGAAAAGGTGGACAAGCTGGCGAGGGCACCGTGCAATGCCACTCACATTCACCGTTCCTCCACCCCACCCCCCCGCACCTGAGCTCTACCGCAGAAATGAGCGAGGAGCAGTTTAAGGAGAAGGTGTACGAGCTGGCGAGGGTTACGCACCGGTCATATGCACCATCCCACCGCTCCCCTCCCCCCCATTCCCTCCCCCCCCCCCGTTGTCTCCCCCATTGCCTTGTACCACAGAGATGAGCGAGGAGCAGTTGAGAGAAAAGGTGGAGGAGCTGGCGAGGGCGAGGCGCCGGTCACATGCACCATCCCACTGCTCCCCTTCCCCCCATCCCTCTCCCCTCCCCTTGTCTCCCCCATCGCCTGCCACCGCAGAGATGAGCGAGGAGCAGTTTAAGGAGAAGGTGGACGAGCTGGCGAGGGCGAGACACCGGTGTCTGGTGGCGCTGCTGGGGTACTGCATGGGCAAGACAGAGCGCATGCTCGTCTTTGAATACATGCCCTATGGCACTCTCTTCGACCGCCTCCACCGTAAGTCCACCCACCGTTTCGGAGTCCCTTTTCGTGATTTTTCTTCTTTTTCCTCTCAGCCGACCCCCTTTTTTTCCCTCTGAGTCCACCCATTTTTTCCAGGCTCACTTGTCTTTTCCGAGTCCACCCATTCCGTTGTTGGCACTCTCTTTGACTGCCTTCACTGTGAGCCCACGAAACATCATGAGAACACATGCTTAACTTATTAGGTACATACCCACGGTGATGCACATGCCCACCGTCATGCACAAACCCCCATCCTCCCCCCCACCCCCCCCCCCACCCCCCCCACAACCCTCTTCCTTTCCCAACACCCATGCCACACAGGGTCGAACCTGGACCCCATGCCGTGGGATGCAAGGGTCAAACCTGGACCCCGCCTCTCATCCCTCCTCATCCCCTTCCCCTTAATCCCCTCCTCCCTCCAACCAACACCCGGGTGTGTGTCACAGGGTCGAACCTGGACCCCATGCCGTGGGATGCAAGGGTGCGGGTGGCGGTGAACGTGGCGTCAGCGCTGGCCTATCTGCACCACGGCGTGGACCCGCCTCTCACCCACCGCGCTGTCACCTCCTCTAACGTGCTGCTTGGCGCTGACATGACTGCCAAGGTGTGTTAATGCTCTCAACAACCAGACGCAGTTTCAGGCTGCTTCATTTGGTGTGTGTGTGTGTGTGTGTGTGTGTGTGTGTGTGCGCATGTGTGCACACGTATGCGTGCGTGCATGTGTGTGTGTGTGTGTGTGTGTGTGTGTGTGTGTGCGTGCGTGCATGCGTGTGTGCGTGCGTGCGTGCTTGCGTGCGTGCGTGCGTGCGTGTGTGTGTGTGTGTGTGTGTGCTTGATGGGGTCAGCAATTGCCTCTCACCCACCGCGCCGTCACGCCATCCAATGTGCTGCTCGGCGCCGACATGACTGCCAAGGTGTGATTTCACTGCCACTCTGCCTGCTCTGCTCCCACCACCGTGTGCTCCCACCACTGGTGCTTTGCTCCTTAGACGTGCATAAGCCATGACTAGCCTTTATTCCCCCTTTCATCCCTCCGTCCCTCCTCCCCACCCACACAACACCAGCTCTCCGACTACGGGCTGGCGCGGGGCTGTGCAGCGCAGGCAGCAGACGACCTGGCGCGGCGGCGCCGGGCCCACCGCAGCTCGCGCAGCCGCGGCACGAGCATCGGCAGCACGGGCCAGCTCGACAGCCTCCAAGGCGGCAGCAGCGCTGGCAGCAGCGCCGGCAGCAGTGGCGACTTGCTGGGCGGCGTGGGCGGGCGGTCGTTTGGGAGTGGGAGGCGGCGGGGTGGAGGGGGGGAGAGTGAGAGCGACACCGATGGGGAGGCTGTGCTGTCGCGGGAGAGCGCGCCGCACTTCGCGAGGGAGAGGGAGAGCACGCCGATTCTTTCAAGGGAGAACACGATTTTGAGCATGGATGAGAGGAAGGCGGATGTGTATGGGTTCGGAGTGGTGCTGCTGGAGTTGATCACAGGGCAGAAGGCCATGCAGGACGTGCATATCACCAGCCTGGTACGCCGCGGTGAAATGCAGTAAAGCGTGGTTTGGTTCGGTGGAGCGTGGTTTGATATGGAGCAGGGTGGGGTGCGTGCACTGGGTGGTGCGATTGGGTATGTGGGGTGTGGATGGGTTTGATATGGTGCTGCTGGAGCTGATAACGAGGCACCAAGTAATGCGCGATGTGTAAACTTAATTTGATAGGGCGTGTCTCTCATGAGGTGTATTTCTGTAATGGGAGGGAGAACATCGTGGTTCAATGCGGTGGACAGTGGTGTGTGCGCTTTTCTGTACATGGTATGTCATGCAGGAAGTATCAAGCGTATGAATTGGGATTGGTGGTGCTGATTTTCACCCAGAATCACATGCATGTTGTGCATTGCCAGCGTGATCAGAAGAGGCCACCTTCATCTCTCATGATCAAAGTGTTGTTTTGAGACGTCTCAAAACATTCACCCAGAATCACATGCATGTTGTGCATTGCCAGCGTGATCAGAATAAGCGACCTTCATCTCTCACCTTCTCTCCCTCGCCCCATTCTCCCCGCGTCCCCTCGTTTCACTCGTCTCCCTCTATCTCCTGACATACATCAGGCGGCGCCCTTCCTGGAGGACGATCAGATGATGCCCCTCATGGCTGACAGCGCCCTCGCAGGTGTGCTCCCATGCTCCCCTGCTCCCATGCTATTGTGCTCTCATGCTCCCTTGCTCCCATGCCCTTTGCTCTCACGCTCCCTTGCTCCCATGCCCTTTGCTCTCACGCTCCCTTGCTCCCATGCCCTTTGCTCTCACGCTCCCTTGCTCCCATGCCCTTTGCTCTCACGCTCCCTTGCTCCCATGCCCTTTGCTCTCACGCTCCCTTGCTCCCATGCCCTTTGCTCTCACGCTCCCTTGCTCCCATGCCCTTTGCTCTCACGCTCCCTTGCTCCCATGCCCTTTGCTCTCACGCTCCCTTGCTCCCATGCCCTTTGCTCTCACGCTCCCTTGCTCCCATGCCCTTATGCTCCCAAACTCTTTTGCTCCCATGCTTCCTTATTCCCATGCTTCCATACGTGCATACTCACCCGGCCCTGCAACACGGCATGCATTACACTACCGCCTGGCTACTTCAATCAGGATGAGCTGGTCTCGCTCGCCTCCATTGCCCGTGACTGCGTACACCCGGCACCCTCTCAGGGCGAGCTCATTCCCCCTTGCTCCCACACCCCCATTCCCCCTTCCTCCCACGCCCCCATCCTCTCGCCCCACAGGCTATTTCAACCAGGACGAGCTCATTTCACTCGCCTCCATTGCCCGTGACTGCGTGCACCAGGCACCTTCCCAGCGCCCCTCCATGCTCGACGTCCTCACAGCCCTCGAGGACACAGTAGACGAGGACCTCCTCTCTTCCCTCCACGGCCCCTCCACCCGCCTCCTCTCGCCCAGCTCCACTGCCAGTGGCATCACCAGCACCAGCAACGGGGACCGGTATACTGCCCTGGCCAATGACGGCGCTTTTGACGATGCTGCCACGGGAGGGACGGGGACGGGGATGGGGGGAGGGGGAGCGGGGAAACGGAGCGGTGGGTCGTCATTCATTGATGCTATCTCGGCGTCGTTCCGGAGGCGAGGGGGTGGGGGGGAGAAGGGTGGGGGGAAAGGGGAGGGGATGCAGAGGGGATCGGGACAAGCCCCCCCGTCGCCGAATCGGTCGGGGAGGAGTGATGCATCGGATATAGAGAGCTCGTCGCTGCTCTATATCACTCCCAAGGGTCACTGAGACACTGACTCGTCTCTCCTTCCTCCTCTCACATTCCCCGGCTCAAGTGGCGTCTGTCTTTGAGACGTCTCTAAGAATCGGTTGAAGAGGAGGAGTGATGTGTGGAATGTGAAGAGCTCTTCCCTGCTTCATATCACCCCCAAGATACACTGACACGATCTCTATAATATAAACATATGGTACCAGCTCATTCTCTCCTTTCTCTCCCACCGAAGGGGCAAGTCATTTCCTCAGTGTCTCCAATATTTTCTTCATGACATTTTGGGGTCCGCTCATATTGTGGTACTATAATCTAGGGCCACCCAGCGACTACCACATTTGTTTTTTTTTGTTCACTTGGTTTTTAATTCTGAAGGCCGGTGATCACAACCGGTGTGTACGTCACATGATGGGTAGGTTGGTGGGCGTTGACACTGTACATTATTATTTTATACTTTGTAAACAATTACCCTTGGATTTGTAGTGGGTGGCACTGAAGACGTGTCCAGAGAGTACATCCTAATACGATAGAAAAGGGTTTGGAATTGACCCCGAGCGGTATAATTGAGAAGTAGAATGGTGAGGTAGGGTTCCTTATGAGTGTACATTCGTAGACTCTCCCTATGATTCGAATGGCAACTTTACACATACTAGCTGAAAAGTGCAACAAGCAGCATGAAGCTTATTTCTCAGAACAGTCAGTCATTGGTTGTACAGCAGGTACCATACAAACTAGATGGTAAGGTACACCACGGATTGTGACCTTGCAACAGAATATGTTCTTGCCACAGACGCCATGTAGAGGAATGAATGCAAGGCGGGAAGCAGCCCAGTACAGCAGCAGCATGTGGTGGAGGTAAGGAAATGTGCCTCTGAAAGGAAGCACATTGAGATTGGTAAGGGGAGCCTACAAAACTGCTCCCGCTGATTTAGGTAGTGTATAAAAACCCTCCATATCCATTACCCTCTGCCACTCCTCCACCCACCGCCACCACCACCGCCACCTCCTCTCCTGCTTCCCCCATAACCTCCTCCTCCACCACCACCGAACCTGCCACGACCACCGCTGCCCCCTCCTCCCCCTCCCCCTCCACCTCCCCATCTTCTCGGGCCTCCGGGACTGAAAAGAGAGAACACACAAGCCGTAGAGAAGTTGGGAGGGACACGAGAAATGGGAGAGGTGAGTGGGGAACGGACAGATAGACAGATGAGAGGCAGCGGCAGAGATGAGAGGCAGGTCCATTGGGGAGAGAGGTTCAGGAGGTAAGAGTGGGAGGGAAGTGGGTGTAATCAGGGGACATGCGATCAGCACCGTTGATTCATATTGCGCACATCACGGCACATCTGACCCGTTACAGGGATGCAGATTTCAGCGCAGATTTGGTCATCGCTTCGCCAGAGGGGAAAGAGGACAATGGAAAGAGATGAGATCGAGAATGAGTAAATCGCTAGTGAAGAGGCTAGTCAAAGGGATTGGGGTGGACAGCAGAGAGTGAAACCAACAGGGTCTGGTTACCAAAAAGTAACAAGTAACAAGAGGGCAAGCCCAAAGACAGGTACATCCTAAGCGAGTTTGCAGCAATCAGCACCGTTGATTCATTTTGCGCACATCACAGCACATCTAACCCGTTACAGGGATGCAGATGTCAGCGCAAATTCGGTCATCGCTTCGCCAGAGGGGAGAGGGGATGATGGAATGGAAAGCGGCAAGAAGGGACGGGCGGTTTGACGGAAGGAGGCTAGAAGGGTGGTGGTGCAACGAGGTTGGCAGAGAGGCTTGAAGTCAGAGAGAGAGAGAGAGAGAGAGAGAGAGAGAGAGAGAGAGAGAGAGAGAGAGAGAGAGAGAGAGAGAGAGAGAGAGAGAGAAGCTGGGCGGGCAAGTCAGACAGGAGAAGTGAATCTTGGAGCAAAGCTGCGATCAGCACCGTTGATTCATTTTGCGCACATCACAGCACCATCTGCCCCATTACAGGGATGCAGATGTCAGCGCAAGTTGGGTCATCTCTTCAAAGCTCAACTCATCCCTCCAAGCCTAAACTAACAGGCATCATGTCACAGCAGCATCAGGAGCAGCTGCAAGGGGAAGAGGTAAACAAATTAAACAAATCAACAGAAGTGCAAGAAGCAAACCTTCCACCACACACACACCCCCATCGCCATCGTCCAAGCAGGACACCACCCTGGACCTCTCCTTGGAAGTTGACCCCTCACCTGTTGTGCATGCACCTCACCTCACTTGTTGTAACCCCCATGTGCCTCACCTGTTGCTGGTCATCGGAGCTTGCTTGAGCTCGGGAAGCGTCTTGGCCTCCTCCACCTGGATGTTCGACAGCCCGTTGCTCGCCGCCGCTGCAGCGATGGGAAAAACACAACACGTGAGGCACACAAGGGTTTTCTTTCTGTTTGCATGCACGTCAACTTTTGAGTTGACTCAAAAGCACACAAGGGTTTTCTTTTTGTTTGCATGCTCGTCAACTTTTGAGTCGAATCATCAAAAGCACACAAGGGTTTTCTTTTTGTTTGCATGCACGTCAACGAGGTCCGCGGTGGGAAAGAGCGATGCAATGCAATGGCACCAGTCTCAATCGGAAGGGGGTGGTTGAGCCCTCTACCCTTACGGTAGAGGTTCTTGTCCTTGACAGGCACGTCAAAGAGGTGAGCGGTGAGAGAGAACACTGTAACAGCACCCATCAGAGGACTCAACGCAAGGAGGTGGAGTTCTGGGCCTCACCTTTCAGGTAGAGGTCCTTGTCCTTGACTGGCACGTCAAAGACAGCCCCACAGCCGTCAGCTGTGAGTGTGATGCCGTTGATGGCCCGCGTCTGGTCCGGTGTGAGGTGCTGCTCGAAGAACCGTAGCACATAGCTGCAGTTGGGGAGGGGAGCGGGCAAGGGAGGGATGGTTTTGAGATTGCACACGCTTGATTGCCCGCGTCTGGTCCGGTGTCATCAGGTGCTGCTCGAAGAACAGTGGATGGAGGGAGGGGGGAGGGGATGGAATGGAGGAGGGGTGGGAGTGGGGCAGAGCTGAGATTTGAGGGAGGGTTACAGGACGATATTGATGATGGAAGCCGTACAAGAAACACAACACACACAGACACACATGCATGCACGTTTGTGGCGGGTGTGTGCACGCTCACTCACACCCACACACGTTTCCATAAGTGCGGCATGGCAAGGGGAGGGGCTCACGAGGGCGAGTAGAAGGGTGAGGAGCAGCGCAGCAGCAGGGTGACCTGGTCCTGCTGGCTCAACAGCAGCGAGCGTGCCTTGAGCTCCGTGTGTCCCTGTCATAGAGAGATTTCCATGCCATGCCATGCCATGCCACACAGAGAGTGCAGAAGGAGCAGCAACAGGATCAGCTAAGTGCAGCTCAGAGGCACAGCAGGGAGAGAGGAAGAGCGTACGTGCCAGGGACCTTATGGGTGCCAAGAATGTGCAAGTACATACATCTTGCCGTGACCCATGGACCAACAGGCAGGAAGGCAGCCAGGCAAACTGGCGAGCGGGGGGGCGGGGGGGCGGGTGAGCAGGAGCAAGCAACTCACAGCAAGGCAAGCGAGGGCTTTGGCGAGTGCAGCGAGGGGCGAGAGGCCAGTAGAGTCGATGAGCTCCTGTGCTGAGCCCTCAAACAGCGGCACCACACTGTGTGTTAAGAGGGAGGGGAGGGTGACAGGATGTTGGGGGATTTCCACGGGCAATCTCCCATACCCTCAACTCAAGCTTTGAGGTGATTTTTGAGGCACCTAAAAAAAACGCCTCAATGCACGTGGTGAGATGTTTGTAAAGAGGATTTCCACGAACAGTCGCCCACATTCCCAAAATTCCAAGCCCTCTCCCTCTCTTTCCTCCCGCCCGCCCCCCCCCCCACCCGCACTCATGCGTATGCGCATTTCAAAACATCTCAATACGTGCCCAGAACCCCTTCCCCCACTGAAGCCTGCCCCCACTGAAGCCTGCCCCCACTGAAGCCTGCCCCCACTGAAGCCTGCCCCCACCTGCACACAAAGCCTCCCTCACGCCCTCACCTGTCTCCAACGGCCTTGACTTTGGTCGTGACTGCAGCGGAGGCGACTTTAACGAGGTCAGCGGGCTGTGGCGGGCTGACGCGCTCAAACTTTACCCCCGCCGTGTGCTCGATCTGCGACACTATCCGCCCCGCCCACCTGTCCGCCACCAACACTGACACTCCCGTGTTGCCTGGTTGGGGAGGAGAGGGGGGGATGAGGGGGGGATGAGGGGGGGAGGGGGGGGGGGGCAGTGGCAAACACAGACAGGTGGAAGAGCGGGTGAGGACGAGGCACGGGTGAGAACGAGGCACGGGTGAGAACGAGGCACGGGTGAGAACGAGGCACGGGTGAGAACGAGGCACGGGTGAGAACGAGGCACGGACGAGGCACAGACGAGGCACGGACGAGGCAGGGCTTTCGTGAAGAAACGGGAGAGTGAAAGAGTGAAAGAGAGAAAGAGTGAAAGATAGCAGAGGAATCTGGGAGGGGCAAAATGACCCAAACGCCTGCCTGCAAAATCACCACCTCCCGAATCTGCACATCCGCTGCTGCCACTCCACCAAGGCTAACTCCGTACCTGCGCGGCCGGTTCGGCCGGACCGATGGATATAGGTCTCGACGGTGCGGGGGACCTGCGCCTGCAGAACGAGCTGCACATCACTAATGTCCAAACCTCTCGCCGCCACGTCTGTTGCTACCAGCACTTGGAAGGCCCCTGACTTGAACGCTTTTAGCACCACCTGTGGGAGGAAACACGAGGAGGAGCATGTGAGAGCGGCGGGTGGTGAGAGAGAGAGAGGGAGGACGAGCAAGTCCAACCACCAACCCCATTGAATGGAGCACACGTTGCATAGCTGGTGGTGCTGCTGCCAACACACTCACCTCGCGCTGCTGCTGGCTCACCTCGCGTTGTTGCTGCACGACGTCGCCGTGCAGCGCTCGCGCCCCCAGGTGCGCCAAGTTCTGCGCGAACTCCGACGCTGCGCTCTTGGTGTCCACGAACAGAATCACCTTCCCGCCGCTGCCAAGGGGGGCGGGGGGGAAGGAGGGCGGGTACGGGGGAGAAAAAGAGTTCAACACTCAACACTCTGCGCGAACTCGCTCTTGGTGTCCACAAACAGAATCGCCTTCCCGCCACTGCCCGTGGTGCACGGAAAAGGGGGCGGCGGGGGCGGGGGAGAGGGGGAAGGGGGAGATGAGGGTGGAGAAGGATGAGAGAAATGTTGAAGGGGCACGGAAGATGCGCGCATTTACACATGCAAAAAAGAGTCATGTTGAGTAAAAAAAGAATGCTGAGGAAACGGGGGAAGAGGGGGGGGGAGGAGGGGGGAATAGGGGGAGGAGGGGGTGTGGGGTGTGAGAGGAGGTGAATGAGGGGCGGGGAGAAACTGACAGGCTGTAGGTGGCGATGACGTCAGCGACGAGTTGGAAGCGTTGTTTGGTGTGGCAGGGCATGAGCAGATGGCGCACGTTGGTGCTCGCCTTCTGCCGCTCGCCGCCCACCAGGTCCACCACGCGCTTGTCCTCACGGAAGAACCGCTTCGATATCTGGTGCAGTGCGGTGGAGTGGGATGGGGTGGGGTGGTGTGGAGTGGGGTGGGATGGAGTGGGGCAACGCGCGGGCGGGGGAAGGGGAAGGCAGGTATATTGTAAGTATCGCGCAAATGCGCTTGTCCTCCCGGAAGAACGCGGCATTGGTAGGTGCGCGTAGAGCGTGGGGCGAAGGCACGCAGAAGAACGAGGGCAGGAGAAGTCAGGAGCGTGGGGCGGGAGGAAAAATATTAACGAGCGGCGAGAGGCGAGCGGCGAACGGCGAGCGGCGCGCGGCGAGCGGCGAGCAGCGAGCAGCGAGCGGGTGAGTGACTGACCTTGTTGACCCATTCGGGCACGGTGGCGCTGAAGAGCAGCGTCTGCACCTTGGACTGGTCGTCCACCGACTCTGCGCCGCGCGCACACGCCAAAACAAATCGGAAACAGAGGTGTTAGCGTTTGCAGCGCAACTTGACTTGGAGAAGCTTTAGGCAAGAGGAAAACGACGCAGCCTACTCGCGCAATTCCCTCGCGCAGTCCATTCGCGCTGCAAACTCTTGAGAATTCTCAAATGCATTTCCGTCGCGCAGTCCATTCGCGCTGCAAACTCACTGAGAATGGTCTCGACGTCGTCGACGAAACCCATGTCGAGCATCTCGTCCGCCTCGTCCAGCACGCGGAAGCGCACCTCGTTCAGCTTCAACGACCCGCGCTGCAGCAGATCCTGCTCCAGGGAGAGGGGCAGCGTGCAGCAGACGGGAAAAATAGAGAGGATCAGGACTAGTCGGAAGGGTAGAGGACGGGTCGGAAAACACACGCGGGAAAAGCGGCGGAAATTCAAAACTGTAGCGATGGGCACGAGAGCTTGGGGGTTTTGCAACATTTTGTGAAAACAGCTGGGTTGAGGGGTTCAAGGGTCAGGGGTTTCGGGTTTAGCGGTACCTTGATGCGGCCGGGCGTGCCGACGACGATATCAACGCCGCGGAAGAGCGCACGCTCCTGCGGGCCCATGGGCGCCCCGCCGTACACGCACACAACGGACATGCCGGCGGCGCGGCCGATGTACTCGAAGTCGTCGCCGACCTGCTTCGCCAGCTCGCGAGTCGGCGCCAGCACGATCACGCTCGGCAGCTTGCTGCGGCTCGCGAACCCAGCGCCGGCGCCCTTGCCGCCGCTCTCCTTGAGAATCTTCAGGCGCTCCACGATGGGCAGCACGAACGCGAGCGTCTTGCCCTGACCGGTGCGCGCGCGCGCGATGATATCGATGCCGTCCATAGCGAGGTCGAACGTCTGCACCTGGATGGGGAAGAGCGACGAGATGGACTTGCGACGCAGCGCCGCCTTCACGGCCGGCGACAGGCGGAAGTTGTCGATGCTGTTCGGATCGTCCTCGCGATCCTCCTCGTCCGCCGCCGCCGGCTCCTCCGGACCGTCCGATGAGCCGTCAATCTCGCCCGCAGTCGCCGTTCCAGCTCCGTTAGCTTCGTCAGAAGACGTTGACGCGTCGGCAGATCCGTCAGAATCTTCCTTCTCCGGCTCCTCCGCTGGCGCCTCTGATTCTTTCGACTTCTTCTGCTTCTTCTTGGACTTCTTCGCCGAACCTTCCTCCGCGGATTCTCCGGAGGCCTTCTTCGACTTCTTTTTCGGCGTAACTTCCTCCCCCGCCGATTCGGCTGGCGACGTGGAATCACGCTTCCGCTTCACAGGCGTATCGCCGCCCTTGGCCTTCTTCTTGGATTTCTTCGCGGAGATTAGATCGGACGGCGCAGCTCCATTCTCGTCAGCCGCGAGCGCTTTGGATTTCTTGGCGCTGATGGTAGCCGCCACCTGCTGCTCGTCCTCGGCCATCGCCGTGGCGCCCTTGACCTTGGAAGACACTCCAGGCATAGCTTTCGACAAAAACTTGGACCGAGAATCGGCAAGACTCCAGAAATGTATCGAGTACCTGAAAGGGAACTCCAAATTCAACTCAAAGACTCGTTCGGTGCAAGAATTGCGTACTGTCCTGAGAATTGGCACTGTTTCCTGACAAAGGAGCAGCGCGTTCAGGAACAGCAGTATCAAGTCCTGCCGCGAGGGCTGGACTTACAACAGCGGCAAGCCGCTGAGGAAGAAAGGTGAAAGCTCGAGACCGGCCGCGAAGGCTGGACGTAATGAGCAGAAATGATGCTCCTGAGCGAGCGAGAGAGAGAGAGCTAAAGCCCTTCACAAGGGCGTTGGAAAGAGCCTCCATGAACGAACACCTAGCTGCTTGTTGTTGAGGGTGGATGGGGAAGTCGATGTGGACAAGGGATGATGATGAAGCTTAGACGGGTTAAGTACGGCACAGAACGGTGAAAGAGGAGCATGGTCCTTGCGAATGGTTGGTGGGAAATGGGGGAGAGGGCCAGCTGGAGTTGGCCGCAACTGTGGCCCGTTGGCCCTGTTCGCCACGACCACGATATAGGCAAGGGGCGGGGGATGGGCGAGAGCTCCAGAAGGTGCGCCGGAAGATGCGAACTACGTCCGGGGGCTCGTCCCGAATGGAAATTTCTCCAAAGGGATCCGGAAGGGGGCCAAGGGGATCTGGCACCTCCCCCCCCACCTTCGTTTAGGGCGGGACTTTTTTTCCCGCCTCTGATCCACAACCAGAGAAAAAAAGAAACAAATCAGCCCGGGTAAAAAGTGTCGAAAAAAGAAAAGGTCCTTCACAGTTGCGTTTAGGGTTCCGTGAACTTGAAGCAGCTGTCTTATCACTCGGGAGGGCGAAAACTTGTTGTTCCGGGCCGGTTCTGGTGACACGTTGGCGTTTACCCTGCCCTCAAATCCCCCGGCCATCCCGTTAGGCGCCTACGAAATTGGTGGTCTGCACGAGGGAGAGTCGATGGAGGGGATGGGGTTCCGAGCTGGCAGGACAGGAAACTGCCAGGCGCATTCTGGATCCCCCGCCCATCCCTTCGATGGCCCAGAAAAGTGGGTGTTCGCCACGACAGCGAGCCCTCCGAGGTTCGGAGGGGATCGTCAGGCTCGACAGGATTTTGTCGGTCTGACCGGCCCTAAAACCCTGATTTCACCCCTTTTCGAAGGTGCAGGGCGGATTCCAGTTCCCCCGCCCATCCCTCTGAAGGCCCAGCAAAGGCGTGGCGAACAGGGCCGTTATGTTATACACAGTCGGGCGACCGTTAATTGGACGATTGGTGACCTGCCCATTGAAAAAGAGCAAGTCTGGCCAATCTTAGAGTTTGGCGGTTTGTTGATAGAATCCAGTCCGCTGGTGTGAGGTCATCGGGGTCGGTGGATATTGGTTGACCTCCACGTGGAAAAGCATCACCTCTTCGGACCATGTCTAGCACGCTCGACCCAGACGTTTCGGGCTGTTAGCTGTGCTAGACAATGTCACTTGCCGCAACGCTGGAAGTCGTTGCTCTGCTACACCTCCTACATACAAAAGTATGTAGGAAATAACATAAATTTATACCAGCTAGTAATTCAAATGCAATGAACTCCTCATCTAAAATATATTTCTCAACTTAATTATGCAATGAGATAACGTTTGATATAATTCAATTACATTATCAACATTGAGCGAAAGTTATCTACAGATAGCAATTGTAAGGAAAATTCATTTTCCTTACTTCGCGTCCCCGCTCAGCGCGTACACCACTGTAGCACCACAGTCAGCACCGTTACCACTTACAACTCTTAGAATAGGAATGCAACGGAATGGTGAAACTAGGAAGTGTGGAAGTACAAATATGCAACCCTAACAACTGTACTCCCTATTGTGCTACTCACTGTAGCCTACAAGCATAGAATTACATTTGACAGCAACCCTCGCATCGACAATCCTCCCGCCACCTTCGCACGTCGCACCCCGACCTCACGGCTCGGCGGGTAACCCGCGCTCCGGGCCTCCGCTTCGACATTTTCCCCAACCTCAGTCCCAGGCCCGTCGTGCGACAACCACAGTCCATTACCGTTACCTCCGTAATCTCGCTATATACTCTTCGCTCATGCTTTCGCTCATTGTACTTTTGCTTAGTGCAATCCTCGCTCTCTCACTCAATTGCAGTCGTAACACCCATACTTGCAACACTTCAATAATGCTCTCGTCGTTGTCCCGACCCAATTTCAGGGAGTTTCCAGTGGTGGACGAACAGCAGCGGTTCGCTCTCTTTTTTGAACGGTTTCGTAGGGTTCTGAGAGATAAACTGTGCAGATTTTGAAACAGCATTACTCGGACTCGGACTCGGATCCCTGAAATCCAGTTTTGTACGTTTGGTTCGTCAGAAAAACACTGATTCTGCCGCCAGCCATGCCGTGCATTCCACTCTTTTGCTGATGCGACTGAGGTGACCGTTAGTTATCCAGCTCCACCTTTCAGTGTTAGGAACATACATAGATCGTCCTTAGCCGTCGTAGAGTCCAACAGTTTTTAGGCCTTTACGATTTACGTAAATAGTCCAGGGTTTCTCTGGATTAGCAGTCGACATTGACCAAACAATGGGGACATTCATGTCTTTTTTACACTATACCAGTCGCCTAGGAGCTCCGTGACGGTAAATGCTTACTTTATTTTACATTGTTCTGGTTTTCCTAGTGATTCTGTCCGTTTGAGCTATTCAGCCTAACTGTCGTATCGTAGCAACCACGATGAGCGCGAGCACGGCAAGCAGCCGGCAGTTCTCCCGGCGCCAGTCCATAGATCCACACTCCAAGTCCAGCCAAGCAGCCGCTCATGGCGCCCTTAGAGCCAACCCCGCGATTCCGCCTCCCACGCCTAAGGGAAAGCCAGCGAAGTACGGGCTGGGCGAGGACTCGATGATCGGGCAGGAGATCAAGCACCTCGAGTCCGAATCGTTCAACGCGGACCAGTTCATGCAGGCCAAATGCAAGGCCATGAGCGAAAAGGTGCGTCGCACGCGAAATGCGAAGCCGTTAGAGCAAATTGGCGTTCAAATCACAGCGTGTTTCGTGAAGGTGGAAAATTTTCATTCCTAAACTCACGCATTTGACTCACATATCTCACTCGCGTGTCCAACTCACTCACTTAACTCACGTCTCACATATTTCATTTGATGCGCAGTCGCTGCGGAAGCTGTGCGCGGAACTGGTGGACTTCAAGCGCGCGTCCGCGGAGGAGATGCGCAAGAGCGTGTACGCCAACTATAAGTCCTTCATTCGGTAAGCCTATTCCTCTCCTTCATCATGTAGGCCTGTCCCTGTCCTTCTAACATGTCATTATGCCGCTTGTCCGGCTATGCTCTCTTTAAATCCTGAATTCCTCGTTATGCAGCATATGTAATGTCATATGTAACGCACTGTGTAACAATTTACTCACTTCATTTTCTGTTCCCTCTTTGTTTCCACTTCCATCCCACCCTCCCCGCCCTAGCTGCCTCTCCACTCCTCTCCACTCCTCTCCAATCCTCTCCTCTCCTCTCCACTCATCCACTCCCTCTCCACTCCTCTCCACCCCTCTCCACTCCACTCCCCGCGGCCTCTTTGTACCCCCTCCGCCCGCAGCACGGCAAAGGAGATATCAGAGCTGGAGGGCGAGCTGCGCAACGTGCGCTCGCTGCTCACCGCGCAGTCCACGCTCATCCACTCCCTCTCCGACCGCTCGCCCATTGTCCAGTCCCACCTCGCCGACCCCGACCGCTCCGTCTACGAGGACGACAAGGAAGCTTCCTCGCAGGAGGCCAATCTGCTGCAGATCCCAGACAAAATGGCCGTGTGCCTGGCAGAAAGGCGGATAGACGAGGCGTTGGATCTCTTAGCCAAAGGGGAGGATGCTGTGGTGATGTGCCGTGCGGGGCAGCGACCAGCAGTGAATAAAGACTCTCTGGAGACCTTAGATTCGAGCCTTGCTGAGAAGCGCGCCGAGCTTGTTGACCTGCTGGCCAGGATCACCCTGCAGCCGTCGGTTCGGCGAGCGGAGCTTCGGCACGCCGTGGCTGCGCTGGCGAGGCTCGGCGACCCGAAACGGGCCCACACACTCATGCTGGCGTGTCACGGCGCGCAGGTGCAGGCGGCTGTGCAACCGCTGCGACCGGGGGGCGTATCCTACGGTGCAGCTTACACGGCGAAGATCTCACGGCTGGTATTCTCCACGATCCTGGCCGCAGCACAGGACTCCAAGGCCGTGTTCGGCGACACGCCCTCCTGCGCCTCAGAGCTGGTGCTCTGGGCGCACGGGCAGACCGAATGGTGCGGGGACCTGCTTCAACAGTACGTACTGACGTCGGCAGCGGCAGCTGGCGGGCTGCGATTGGCCGCCGAGTGCGTGCAGATCGCGGTGGGGCATTGTTCGCTGCTGGAGGACCATGGGCTGGCCATGGCCGCCGTGCTCATGCGCCTCGTGCGCCCCAATGTGGAGCTGGCGTTGGAGGCAAACATAAGGCGGATAGAGGAGAGCGTGCAGGCCATGGCTGCCGGGGACGACTGGTCGCTGCTGCCTGTGCCGTCGGCTCCGCGCAGCGCTGCTGCTCGGATGCTGGCTGATGCTCCTGTTGCGAATTTCCAGCTTACCAGCAGCGCGTACCGCCTCTATTCCATGGTGCAGGTGTGTCCTCCCTCTGAACTACCCTTTTTCCTTATCTCCTCAGTCTTCGCCCTCCCTCGCTCTCCGTCCTCCTGCCTCCCGCTTCCCTCCCTCCCCCTTCGCTCACTCTCGCTCCTCCTTACCCCTCTCCCCACATCCCCTCACTGAGCACACGGATTTCTAGAGGGCGTGGTGCCGATAGTGAACCTTTTGAGTCGACTCAAGGTGACTTTTGAGTCGACTAAAAAGTCATTTCTAGAGGGTGTGGTGCCGATAGTGAACCTGCAGCTCACCACGCCTTCCCGACATCCCCCACCCCGTCCCCCTATTTTCTCTCTCCTCTCGCCTCCCATTCACCCACAAT